GACGCGTGCGGTTGCGTCCGGCCCGGCTGGTTGGACGGGACCGTGCGCGTCCGGCCCGGCCGACCGAACGCGATAAAAAAAATAATAAAAAAAAATTAAAATATTATTTACAAAGTAAAAAAAATAAAAAAAAAAATACATGATCAATCTTTAATGTCTTGCCGATGTCATTGTATTTTTTTGGTAATTTTTTGAAATTTTTTTGACGGCTAAAAGAGCCGTAGAAAATCGAAAGGGAAAAGTAGAGAGAGTAGAAAGAGAGAGTACTAAAGGGCAAAACCGTCCAATGACAAAATTTGTCTTTCTAAAGAAAAAAAAAATGGTCTTTCTAAAGAACGACAATGACAAAATTTACTGGAGAAAATTTGTAAATTAACAATATTGTGAATTGTAATTAGATGAAAATATAATAATTAAAATTGGTGTGAGAAGCAAAATGGTAACTGAAAATAACTATGAATATGAAATAATTGAGGTGACTTTCAGCCTTCAAAATGATAGCTGGTAAAAAATCTCCTAAATAAAATATTTTATTTATTAAAAAAAAAAAAATGATTTGGGAGCGAGGAAGCATTGACAAGCTGATTACATTATTACCTTACACTACACGGCGTGGACTTGACTTTTCGTTTAAATATTTGACACAAATATAAGGCATGACCCGGTGACCCGGTCCGGTCGCTCTCAACATTCATAGCCAGTAGTCCAAATGCTGCACAAAGCAGAATTAATTTAATAGAATAGTATTCCCATTCAACGCCAAATCCAAGCGTTGAACCGGTAAAACCCATTTAACAGTAATAATAATAATAATAATAATAATAATAGAGAAAAAAAGTGAAAAGAATCATCATTCTTGTGTTTGATTATCATAGCTGAATAACTCTTCATTTTCTCCACCAACTTGATCAAAATCAATAGCTGCTGCTTCTTTTCTGTATCATCAGATAGATAAAATTTTAAGGCATGGGACTTTGCTTTAGCTCCTCTACCTCTGCCCCTGCTAACGAAACCCCTACTTGTTCAACCACAGAATTCAGCTCAGGTTTGATTTTCTTACTCTTTTTCCTCTTCTGGTGCTTGCCATAATCATTATTTGATTGTTTTCATGTTTTGTGGGCATATATATATATTCTGCAGCAACCGCATCACGTGGGACGAGCAACACATCGGGCAGCAACAGCAGCAGCATATTCTCGGGAGGGGATGAGTCGGGTCACCAGAATCTGAGGGTTTTCTCGCTGGCAGAACTGAGAGCCGCCACCAAGAACTTCAGGAACGATATGGTGCTTGGGGAAGGTGGTTTCGGAAAGGTTTATAAAGGGTGGCTTGACGAGAGGTCGTCAGGTCACAAGCCCGGAAGTGGTACTGTAATCGCTGTCAAGCGCTTGAATACCGAGAGCATGCAGGGATTCAACGAGTGGAAGGTATTAAATATTAAACAATATTCACTCCAATCTCATCTTCAAGTAATTCAACATATAATCATATGTATGTGCTATTGATTGAGTGATTGACTGTACATGAAATTTGACTTACAGTCTGAGGTGAATTTCCTGGGGAGGCTTTCCCATCCGAATCTGGTGAAGCTGTTGGGTTACGGTTGGGAGGACTCTGAGCTGCTTCTGGTCTACGAGTTCATGCAAAAGGGGAGCTTAGAAAACCATCTTTTTGGAAGTAAGTCTTTGTCTATTATAAGCTCTCTTTACCTACTTACTATTGAGGATATTATTCTGAATGAATTTTGTTGGTGCTCAGGGGGTTCTGCAGTTCAGCCGCTCGGATGGAATACACGGCTTATGATATTAATCGGCGCAGCTCGTGGTCTTGCTTTCTTACATGCTTCTGATTGGAAAGTTATCTACAGAGACTTCAAGGCTTCCAATATATTGCTGGATGGAGTAAGACACACACACACACACACACTTGTGTGTTTCATTTCATCTCTTATTATTATACTTGTGCTTTCCTCACACTTACTTTATATTCCCTCTCACATCAGGCCTACCATGCAAAGATATCTGATTTTGGCCTGGCCAAAAATGGTCCAACAGCTAGTAAATCTCATGTAACTACACAGGTCATGGGGACACATGGCTATGCTGCCCCCGAGTACGTGGCTACAGGTAAACCTGCTGTGCCGACTCTTCAGTTTGTTCTACTCAAACATAGTAGACATAAATAAATAAATGATGACAAATTCAAAATGTGCTGACCTGTCAATAGGGCACTTGTATGTGAAGAGCGATGTGTATGGTTTTGGCGTTGTCTTGGTAGAGACTCTGACGGGTTTGCGAGCGCACGATAATAATCGTCCATCCGGACGGGCCGCCAAACTCGTGGATTGGATCAAGCCCTACCTATCCGACCGGAGGAAGTTAAAGCAAGTAATGGACTCGCGTCTCGAGGGAAGATATCCTTCTAAATCCGCACTGCACATAGCCCAGCTTGCCCTTAAATGCCTCGAAAACGAACCTAAAAACAGGCCATCAATGCAGGAGATAGTCGAGACACTAGAAAGGATTGATCTGGCCAACGAGAGACCTACAGAGCGTAGAGTGCATTCCACCCATCAATCGCCGAATCGAGCTGCCTTACAACAACATTCTCTGCACCACCGTTCTCCACTTCATCCAAGGCATAATCAGGTCAATCGAGCCTATCCACGCGCATGATCGTTCTCATTATTAGTGTTTCG